ACACACACACACCAGACACACACATACACACACCAGACACACACACACACACACACACCAGACACACACACCAGACACACACACCAGACACACACACACACACACCAGACACACACACACACACACCAGACACACACACACACACACACACACCAGACCCACCCACACACACCAGATGGTGTGTGTGTAAAACCTCTGGTGTGTGTGTAAAAGGTGTGTCCGGAAAGTAATGCAATTAAAAAAATCAATATATGAATTGAAGATATTGTCACAAACGTTTAATACACTTCAAAGTAGTTCCCTTGGGCATCCACACACTTTTTGCAGCGACTCTGCCATGCACGGTACGCGTCCTGGGGACTTCAATGCGGGCCTCGGCAAGGGCTCTCATCACGACGTCTTGGATGATCTTAATCGATCCGAAATGGATTCCTTTCAGGGCGGTCTTGATCCTCGGAAGAAGAGAAAGAGGTTGTCTCGACTGTAGGGGATTGGGGTAATGAAATGTGCTTCACCTGATACAAACGTATTGCAGAGGAGCTTCCGGGCAGTGGCGATCTCCTTTCTCGCTCGGATAACTCTTTTTTCGCAGTCTTACACGTCGACGTAGTACGTAGCGTTATACCTCAATTTTTTGAGGACGTAAAACAGCTGTTTACGGTTACATCCAATCGGGAGCATAAACGTCACCGTGATGACGTTCTAGCTTCCGATTGGATGACACTAACGGCTCATCTACGTCAAGCGCGACGTTAAAAAATCGGAGTTAAACGATTTGGTCTTGAGAAACACGCTCTGTGAACCACACCTTTTGCGTAGAAAAAACAACATTGTTGCTTCGACGCATTCGACTTGCTCGTTCTTGCATTTTTCGGTTTGGGGACTCTAGGTGTGCTACTCAGAAATTCGACGTGTTTCAGATAATACCAAAAACACCATATTTCATTCCAGGTAATGACTTTGTGGGGTTCAATTTTCACACGTTCGAGAAATTTACTCGCGACACTCAAATGAACTTCTGATCGTCTGGCAGCAGCTTGGGAATAATCTTGGCACAAACTTTCGTGTCTAATTTCATCGCTCACCAGTTTGTGTACAATTGTTTTGGGAATGTTGAGAGTTTCTTCAATCATCCGGACACTCAAATGACGGTCGGAATTTAACAGATTGCGCACACGGGTCGAATTATCGTCGGGGTTATGATGGTTGAAGGCCATCCAGGGTTCGTTGATGCGTCCCGGCTTTCATTAAACGCTTTTAACCCCCTCGAAACTGACCCCATCAGCATGAACAATCAATTGATAGGTATCCGCAAGATGTGTTGAATTTTGATCAAAACGAATCCGCATAACGTCGCTTGAGTGATGATTCCTTCGCGATTCGTGACTCAGGCACTAAACGGGTGCGCGGAGACAGCGATCCCGATTTCCCAAATTTTCTAAGCAGACTGGCAAAGACATCGCTTTGAAGCTGAGTCTCTCTCACCTAACCCAAACGATGGGAACGCTCTTTGGCCATTTTAAGAACTCTCGCAACAAAATTGCGTTACTTCCTGAACAACCCTTGTGGTCTCAGAGAGTCTGACAGATTCTGAGAGTCGGACGAATGGACACTAAAAAAACGAGGGAGAGGGACGGATGGACGGACACCAAGAGAAAGATAGGGAGGGGGAGAGAGAAATAGTCGATAATGATGGTGATGTGCCACAAACTCCATCAATACTATACAATTACTCTCCATAAGTTCTTTATAAATTTGTCAGAGAGATGCATAAGACAAATTAGTTTTGATACATAGACATTGCTTCTAAATGCAACTAGTTAACTGTAATAAGTCTTATTGCTTTGCAAAAATTCAGTCAGTACTAATTTTAAAACAAAAAAAATATATTAACAGGCAGCAACGATTGTAAAAATTGGGAAAATCAAGTTAAGTTATAAAAATAACAGAATCACCTTCATAATGTGTTTTCAGAATCACCTTCATTTGTAAAACATATGGAAAGTAAAGAAACAACTGTAGGAAAACCAATTGTCCTCGAGTGCATGGCTGCTGGTTCACCCAAACCAAAATTGTTGTGGAAAAAAGATGGAAGTAATTTAGTTGCAACTGAAAGGCACTTCTTTACTGCAGAAGATCAGTTATTGGTTATTGTTGGTACTACTTTAGAAGATGCTGGAAAATATGAGTGTGAAATGACTAATGCTCTGGGGACTGAGAAGGGTTATTCTCAAGTTTCTATCTTACCAGGTAGGTTGGAAATTTGTTAAATATCAAAAATTTTTGAATTTGCAAAACAATATTAAATGTATCATTCTTTACGTTTTAGCTGCAGCTGATGGGAGCAGTGAAAATGAAAATGACATGACTGGCATAATCGTCATCACTGTTGTGTGCTGTGCTATTGGAACTTCCATAATCTGGGTGGTTATTATTTATCAAACAAGAAAGAAAATGGGTCTTGTGGAAGTGGGTACTGAGAGTTGTCAGTATCCCAGCACACTTCTGCCTTCCAATCTTAGTTCTGCCCCCCACCTTTATTTAGATACCAATTCAGAGCATTCCAGTGGGAAAGATAGTGGCACTGGTGACTCTGCAAAAAGAAGTAGTGATGATTTACTTCTTCGAAACGATGTGCCTGGAAATTTAGAGGGTGTGTAAAATTTGCTTCTTTTTTGTGTATTATATTTAAAATTTTAATATGAAAATGACTTTGTCATTAATTATAGGTGGAAGTCATCCAAATATGGAAGCCACAAATCACTTGCTACCTAAAGAGGTACAAGTTAGAGTTGTAGATGATGAACACCCTACTCCAATTCTGAGAAGTAGTTTGCACACCCGAAGGACTGATCATGATCGGTTTTGTAAAGTGAGTCTCTTGTGTGGTGGTTGTTCCCAACGGTGGTCTGCACCTCATTGTGTGGAGATGGACCGAAGTCATATGCCCCCATCATGTTCTTATCATAGCCTACCTATTAGCTTAAGGCCAGAGTTAGGTCAGGACAATGCTAGTCAAGTGGATGCTGTAGAAGGCAACCAGACAGTGGATGAGGCTACACCATGTGTTGCAAACGTGTAGTGCTTCTTCTTAGCTGTAGGTGTGTAGATAGAAATGGTGTAAGTTACTGCATAGATAAAGCTGAGATTTTCTATTGGTAGCTTTGTTTATATTCTGTTAATTGAGAATTGAAATATGAATTGTGATTAATTGCATTTATTGTAATGCTAAATTTTTCATATATTATGAGAGTTGTTTTAAACTCGCTATACTGAGTATTTTTTTCTTTCCTTTTATCCTTAATGTGAGGTAAGTTGTTGACTTTCAAATCAGCCATTTGTCTATAAAACTGTAAAACTATTACATATTTAAAAATTATTGCAAAAAATTCATAACTAAACTGTCTCATTAACATACTGAAAATATTACAAAATATTGTCGTCTAATCTCTTCGTCAATTCTTTCTTTCTTTCTTTCTTTTCCTTTCCAAATAAATAGAAGAATCAAGTTGGAAGTATTATCAAGATCTATGTATTAACAACAGATTATGAAGAAAACTGCTAATATTCTTAAATCACTGGTTTGTAAGGTTGTACGTCTGTGATGCACCAAAGGTACAAAATCCAAAACGTAAAATATTGTTTCACACTCACTCAAAGTAAATGAAAGAATGGGAAGAAATAAATTTTCTTGCATTTTAAATTGAAATGCAAGATGTTTGCCAGGGAAGGTGTAAAAAATCAAGAACACAAATGGAAAATGTTTTGTATATTTGGAAATTTCGCAATATTTGGATTGTGAAAAAACTAAAATTGTCCTTGATGTTTACATTTGGATAGTTTTATAGTGACACAACAGACAGGATGATTAACCTTGTAGTTATGGAGGTTTTTTTTCTTTCTACAATCTTGGCTGTAAAGACTATTTTTTTTAAAAATAGATGAATATGATTGACCCCAATGGATTTTTTACCACAGTGAGTGTTGGCGAGGCCTGAGGCAGGCTAGTCTTGCAAAGGAAGGCAATGATAACTTACAGGCAGTGGGCCACAGTGAGGTAATGTTTATATACAAGCTAAAATAGATTTGAGATATGTATGCATGGAAAAAAGGCAACAGTTTATATCCTAATGCATCGAAATATGACACTTCAAAAATTAATTTGTCGTCATTATAGTCATGAACTGTTCAGGTTTAGACCAATGGTCTGTTCCTATTCCTCCAGTAGTCACAGTCTCTGCCTAGGTGTTCCTGGTCTTCCCACATCTTCTTTGGTCAGCCTCTTTCTCTTTCACCTCTTGGTCTGTATACTTTATCACCTTTTTTTTTGTAGCCTGATTGGTTTCATCCTTAATATACTAAATTATAATAGTGAATGAAATATTTAAATAGGAATACACTATTTTTTACCTTTTAATAGCTCTTTATTTAATTTTACCATACCGGATAAAGAACCATAAACTTGTGCTGTTACCCAAACTAGAGAATAAAGTATCTATTTTTGTGGCATTAATTATTAGAAGTGATTCTAAATTAAATTAAAATAGGTTATTGTACAAATTTGTTCAAGTTAATTGCCCACCTTATAAGTCTATTACGTATTGCAAATGAAAATTAAGTTTATTCATAAAGTTCAATAATTTTTTTTCCCCCGTTTTTTCTCCAATATTTCAAAAACAAAAACAAGTTACCGATAAAAGAAGTGTAGTTTGCAAACACATCTAAAAATGTAATGTTTGTTTGTTTTTTCTAACAGAAAATAGGTGCTCACTTAAAAAGATACTTCTCAAATCTGAAGAAAGTCAATGGGATTTCACAAGCAATGTCTGAAGCCGATTCCTCATTCTTATTCTTCTTTTTAGATCTTTTGTTTCTCCTGTGTTAGTGCACTATCTCCAGGCAAATGTAAGTGATCCATGTCCTCTAGATTTTCTTGTGAAGCCATAGCACACTAGTTGCACAAAATGTCAGTGACCCACGATCGCTTACCTTGTGCCTTTATGAATCCATCTCTATCAACTCTTCCTGCCCCTATGCTTTGGCCGGGGCTCCAATGTGGGAATCACTATGACTCTTATGTATTGTTATCTTAAGTAAGCATGAAATAAGAGCTGCCATGTGCCTCTGGAAGTCAAGCGAGAATGGGACTGTTGTACTTTCTTCCATTTGGAGGATGATGGTTCCCCTCACTGCCACCAGCCAGAAATCTGCTAACATACATGTAAACAGCTTCCCAGGTAATGCTTTTTAATGTGCAAAATGTCTTGATGGAATATTCATCATGGACATTAAAATTACCTGAAAAATAACTCAAGTCGAAGTACGGAATTTTCAAGGGCATATTGTATCCCATCTCATGGTAGACTATGGTTTTTTATCATCTAGACTCCAGTTCCTCAAATGTTTTGTGATATCTTTAAAGCATTCCCAGACCTTCAAGGTACATCAAGTTACATAACTGGTGATAAACAAAATACTCTGTTTAATTTTTGCATTACTAAATTTTGGAAATGTATTTACGTAAACCTGCTCATACCCTTGACATATTTGGTTTTGAAAACAATAATCTTCATTGAACAGTGTAATTAGATAGTTCATTATGTTTATACACCCCGTGGAAAAAACTAAAAGCATCAATTATTCAGAATTAAATTTGGTTAAACACAATATGTATTTTTAAAAAAATCTCTACCTTGTTTCCTTTGCATTTTTTGCAAATGTATCTATTAGGGGCAATGATACTTTCATTCTCTTTATCTTGGAGAATATATTGCATATAATGATGAAGAAAATTTATTTAATGTACTAATATGAGTTTCTCCTCTCTTTCTCTGATCGCAAACATCGCGTAGAAGTAATTTGGTACTGTTACTGAAGTTTTGCAGCGAATCCTCTACTTGCATTGTCTTTGGCCTTTGGACATCCATATGAGATGTTCCTATATTTGTCCTTTATTGGAATATATCCATCTTACAGTAGAACTTTAATGGGAAGTACAATGTGAACACAACTGATCAACAATTATTCAAATACTCATATACTGAACATTGTACCAAATACTGTGAGAAGCCAACAATGAGTCAGTTGTTTTTAACTGCTAACTATTGAATAATATGCTGTTTACCGTTTTAGTGGTGAAATAAGAATTTTACTTTGAATAGGGTAACAAAGCACAATTCTTTCTAAATAATTGCTTTCACTATATTTATTTCATAGGTTTTTCTGCGAAAATAGGATTCATAATATGTTTAGTTATTGAGGTTGATCGTTGGAACAATATTACTCCTTACTAATACAGTAAAATTTCACTTGTATGTTTTTCAGAGGACTAAAGGGGGGAAATGTTTAAGTGAGAAAAACGCATAACTGAAATTGATTATTATGAGCAAAGTAAAAATTCAATAGTTTTTTCCAGTTATTTTGCAGTATCTCCCTTTTTATTGCCACTCTCCCTAACAACTTTTTTTTTTTAATTCTATCAGATTTTGAAAGGAGGTGACTTACTACCACTCTTTTTCGTTTAATATCGCGGAAGCAAAACCAGATAGAAGACGAACTATAATTCGATTTAAACACAGAGCCACGAATTACAACTCTGGTCAGCTTAGAAAAAAATATCGTCGGACGAAGGTCATCATCGACGAAGACTCCCCTGAGGTGGAGGTAGCGGAGTGTGGACCTTAGTGATGACCTTGTGCGACTCGGTTTCACTGCGAAAACGAAGGTCGTGTCCTGCGAGGGCTACAACTGGCGGCGGCGACGCGCGGCTGGTTGCTTCGACCACGCCGCGCTGAAAAGAGATCTGTTTCATTAGGTGCTTGTGCCATGCCGCTACCAAAAGGATCTAGTATTATGAAGAATTGGAACATTTACGAACAGCAAGGTTCAGGGATAAACCATTTTTGGCGTGGATTGAACTTCACCACGGATCGAATGAGTTTCCCCACAATGCCCCAAAAGATTCTGCACAGCAGAGAAGTAATTGCGATGAGGCGATAGTTAGAGACAAATTTCTTATCCTTACCCTCCTTTGGTATAATGAGGGTGCGATTAGCTTTCCATCCGGAAGGCACAAAGCCACTGTATAACATTTGGATAAACAACGAACAATATTGCAATATTTGCTCCTTAAGATACGTTGCGAATTTGTATCTCATGTGGTCCTGGAACCGTAGCATTTTGCATCCTAGCCAGACAACATTTTGCTTATTTTAACTTCTGATTCATATTTCCGCCACTTCGGCTTTTTTCCTTTTACTTCATAATTTCGCTTTTTCCCCTCCTGACACCGATAATGATCCAGTTGGATATGTACCTGCAATCTTGGACAACTCGAAGCCTGATCGTGTTGTGTCTGTGAAGGCAGAGGCTCTGATAAAATCTAAATAAAAAGGAAGATAAAGCCAGTCGAAATTTTGTTCTCTCACGAGGAATCCCACTCTATTTTTGAGTATCCTATCCTTAGATCCTTTTGAGGACATCTCTCTTTCTATGATGTACCCTTCTCAGTGTTGGCTTACACAAGTGCAAGGAACGGAAACTAAATAATTCCATTTTCACGGATGGCATATCAAGATCCAGAAGGGAGTTCACAATAGCATTTCTAAGGTCGCGAGTAAAATATATTCGTGCATATCATACCGCGAGGTCATGTGGAATCACCGTTACAAAGAAAAGATCGTTTTCTTATACGTTAAGTGCTAATTCACATTTTAGATTTTGAGCAAAAATGTAAATAATTTTAATTATTAATTTTTTACAATATTTGCTTTTACATATGATTTTTTTTGTCTTCATACATTTTTGCACCCCTACTTTAGCGATAATGTGTCTTTTTGCTTGTCTATTTTAGTAAAAATAAATGCCTTCGCATTTTAGGCATGACCTACCGCGCCTGTAGTCTTAACATTCAAATTAACTCAAAAATAAATAGTATTTCCCGTTTACTATAGGCATAAATAAAACTATAAATACATTTGATCTTTGCCAAAAACCCGAGAGTGCATTACTTCTAAATTTGCGAATTTCGAAAATTCAGACCGAGAGAGATGGCTCAGGGCATCAAATGATGTTACTGCAGTCCCTCTGACCGGGAGGTCCTAGATTCGAGTTCCGACGGCGGTTTTCGACACTAGCTTGTTAGCTAGGTCGAATTCAGTCGCTGTTTTGATCGGTAGTTTTCGTGGTTTTTCCTATCAACACCATGCGAATGCCGGAGCAGTGCCCTTACAAACGGGCCACGGACCGCACACGATCTCACCGTCCTCTTCCTTGTCCTATCCTGAACCCTTACACACCCATACACTAATATACACATTACCCTGACATGCCGAGAGACCCGTCAGGAACTAAAGAGTTTGTTCCGGATGGGGCGGTGCCTCGCTTGGGGTGATACCCGGTTGGGGAGAACACCACTAGCCGACGGTAGGTCGGCGCCGGAACTCGCCATACAGCGGAGGAAATATCACCGCCACCTCCCGAGCAAAAAACATTTATCACACTTACGGGATTTATGACCCTGGTAGTTGACGAGCCCAGAATCACTAAACAATCAATCAATCGCAAATTCAGAGTTCAATGAGAATTCAAGAGAAAATGAGACCTCCGCCATTCTTTTAAATATTCTTTGGAAAACTAGTGGTGCAACAGAATGGCACAGACTTTCCCGTATAAGTTTTCTATTTCCTTTGGTCTCGGCTAGGTATTACTCTTGCTACCTGCCACCTATCGCCACCAAAAGTACATTTTTAAAAACTTTTCTTAATTTTTCGGTTTTCTAATAGTATAAACAAAATGTTACTTTAATAAAATTAAATAACAGTACAACCTCGACCTAAATGGCAAGTTTCTTTGAAAAAATTTAAAGCCGTTTTAAAGAAAAAAGCGTTTAAGCTCTACTGTACATCCGACATTCAAAGCTCTTTTTCACAGAAATTTTTTTGAGTTTTCCACAAATTTCATTTAAATTCATTTGAAGCACTTTAACTCAAAATAAATAGTCATTCGATGTCAAATCGCACACTCACAAAACATCACTTTTTTTAGCGACTTGAAACTTTTTTATCAGTTCTAGGGTTTAAAAGAGGTGACCTATTTTTTCTTTCTTTTCTAATCCCACCTCTTTCAGTAATATTACCAATTATTTTTTCCGAATAATAATGGGCTCGCTAATGTTTAATTTTTTTGCGTAAATAACGTTTCCGTCAAAAAATAAAATTACACTTAAACTTAGTTTAAAAACATGTACTTTAATATGAAGTGAAAATAAATTTTGTATACATATGATGTAAATATTT